ATTGTCTTTAATGTAAGTATAAGTATCGAAATTGTTTTGTAATAATCCGAATCTTACTATCTTACTAATATAAGAAATGCGAATGTTCAGATGGATGGATGAATGTTTGTTTGAATGGATGTTTGTCCAGAACGGATGAACGGATCTCGATGAAATTTCGCATAAATGTAGAGCCTAATTTAGAAGAACATCACCATCAGCTCACTATACGTCCCCACCGAGGGGCTCGGAGCCTACCCTAATTTAAGGGTGATTAGCCCATACTCAACCACGCTGGCCCAGTGCGGGTTGGTTGACTTCACACATATCTTTAAATTTCTTTTAGAAGAACACATACTACTAAATAAGTATTTTTTTTTAATTCCGCACAGACGGAGTCGCGGGCGACAGTTAGAGAATAAAAATCAACACAACGGGCAGATGACGCAGTTATAGTACCACCGTAGGGCTGTCGTACGACAGTTGCTTGTCGTAAATATTCCTCGCGACGTCTAGCTGTCTATTGTCAGCGGGTAATTTGTTGGCGCAGCCCTGAGTTATGGTTCCGGTGCCGTTGGCCTAGGGAACAGTCTTTGGACGGCCTCAGTGTTACTATTTCCGACTTGAAGACTAATGGTAAAAGGAAAATGCCACATTTATTTCTAATTTTAACTTTTTGATATTAACATTTTTGCAGTTGTTAAACAACTTATTTCAGTTTGAATTACACAGTGAGAATTAAGAAACTAGAAGTGACATAGTATAAGAAAAAAGTTTAGTAAAAGCCTAATAAATATAGTCAATACCTAAATATTCTTTAGATGATATCTATGCTTCTTAGAAGGCTTCCTTGTTCATCTTTCAATTTATCCTGGTTACAGGAGTCTCGAGTTTATCAGCGTTAAATGTTAATACATTTATAAACAAACCAAAAAAAGGTTTTCTGTCACGGTACATTTAAAAATTTGCTTGCATCAGTAAAAGTGAACCGAAGTTAATAAATGTTATAAATCAGCCGGCGGCGACTGGACGATATTGATTGCACACTTTGGCACATAGATGGCGTTAGCCGCGGACTAGTGGGTGGGCTTTGTACACATACATGCCACTGGACTACGTCCGCTCGGAATACAAAAAAATATTAGTAGCCTATGTGTCCTTCCAGACTATGTTCTACATCTATGTCAGATTTCAGTGAGATACCTTCTAACAAACATCCATCCTTAAATTCAAACATTCGTATTTATAATATTAGTAAGAAGTTAGATTGGTTTAGAAAAATAACGCGATTGCTGAATAGGGTATTTAACCGGTAAAAGCTACCAACGGCTTTTTTGTCTAAAAGTTATTTATTTAAACTTTAACGTTTCCTTTAGTGAACTGAACTAAAGACTTCAATTACCCCCCTCCCCCCCTTCAGAACTAACGAAAGAAATGAAGGAAGAGAGCTTTTCTTAAAGACAAAGTAATAACATAAGAAAACTTAAAAAAGGCAGTTATACCAAATATAATTCATGTTGGTCAAATAGAACACACACAACTATTTAGCTTGTTGAAATCAGTACGAGTTAATAAGGTATTTTGTATTCATCGAACACTAAGATACCCTTTATAGTAGGTATTTGTTATGTAGGTTGAAAATTTACACAAATTGCTTAAGTTTTGTAAAATTATCCGAAACTGACACGCATGGCTCGTGACTGGACCCCGAGGGCAGTATTAGTGTTGATCCAGCACGTGCGTGCGGCATGTCTGGTATTGTTTCACGCATCTGCAGTCGATGTAATTAGGCATATATTGAAATCGATAATATTTTTTAAATAAATCTCTTATTAAATAAATTACAGTTGAGCCTCCGCCGAGAACTGAAAAGAGTTTTAGAATAAGGGCTTTAGAAACCCATTTAATTCGACCTTCGTCTAATGAGTTAAGTTACTCTTATTTACGTCTCTACACACTTTAAACTATTTTCCATACTTTCCTCAATAAGTCAAAGCGATAACTTTATTGCCTTCTTATAAAAAATTGTAAAAATCGATTTTTAAAGTATCAAAGTTTACTTAACGTTTATCTACCAAAATATAGTTATAAAAGAGCATAAATGTCTATTTAAAATATAGTGCAAGAATATGCTTGTCAGTAGACAATCCCCACTTTGGCGACGTGTTGGCGGCGCGGGCGTCGCACGAGGCCAGTCACGTTTAAGCACTATTTTTACCACCCAATGACATCTTGCTGACGGACCGAATCAAATCGCTTTCAGTAAGTATGGCGGCGAACTACACAACACTATGAAGTACAACAGTTAACAGTATAATGGAAAATAATGACATATATTTGAAATAAATTCTTTAAGTTATTTTATAGTAATTAAACACTTATTCTGAACCTAAATTTAGCTGATATTTTACCAAATGTGTAATTACTAATAACAATACGACGGTAAAGTTTCATATTTCTACATTCAAAATTGTGTATTATAACGTATAGCTGCTGTCCGCAACTGCGTGTGCGCGGAATCAAAAAAAACTTATTAGTAGTCTATGTGTTCTTCCAGACTATAGTCTACGTCTATGCCAAATTCCAGCGAGATACTTTGTAACAAATATCCATCCATCCAAACATTCGCATTTATAATATTAGTAAAATTTAGAGCACATAAAAAAATTACCGAGTAATTCATTTTAACGCCAGATGACTTAAAACCAGTCTAATAGTTTATAAAAAAACAAAGCTGATTGTTAATAAACCTTCAATCAATACGACAGCAAATGATAAGTTAATAAAAATATTTGTTAAGGAATTCGATCATAGCTTCGAACAAACAAAACATTAAAGGTAAGCAAAGCAATCCATAACACCGTCTCTCGGGGTATAGTATTAATTGGACAGATACAGCTCATCCGTACTAACAGCAGGTGTTCCCAAATTATCCGTGATAAATATATACCATCAATATCGGAGCGAGACGGCCACCCTTTCACGGTTGTGGTCGCACGTAATTGTGGTCACGATGTTTCATAACGTAACACATAATAGAGGTATCCGATTACATGCTCATTAGATATTATACAGCTAGAGATTTAATTTTTTTATATATAAAGTGTCAAAAGTGCATGCGGCTACCGAAATTGCGGAACGACCCCTGCGTAAAAACATCCGCAATTGCAAATGGATTGGGACACACGGGAAGAGAGTACGCGTTCTCCGTCACTACACTATTCCTTCCTATCCATTCCTTACAAGAAAAAGATGGGAAGGAAAATTAGGTAAAAATAAAATTAGGCCTCCGCGCATAGTCATCAGATGAAAAGAGGAATTATTTTGACATATTATTAATTGTGTTAGGTATTTATAGAATGTATAGAAGTCGAGGGTCGGAGGCTCAGGGGTCAAGCACTTGATTTGCAATCTGCAGGTCCTGGGTTCGAATCCCGCCATAGGCCAATGTGTTTTTCGATTTCCAATTTACATATGTACATTTATCCGACGTTTTTACAGTGAAGGAAAACATCGTGATGTAATCTGCGCATATCTGAGAAGAAATTCAATGATATGTGTGAAGTCAACCAACCCGCATTTGGCCAGCGTGGTTGACTATGTCCTAGTCACCCGTGAATTTGGGTAGGCCCTGAGCCCCTCTGAGGTGAAGTATAGTGAGCTGATGATGAATTTATAGAAAGTATGCATAAGTTTTGTAATTAACATTTCGTATGTGTTTTAGTGGTCCTAAATTAATATGAAGCTATGCAAATTAAGCATGAAATTAAATATAATTTTTTGCTAGAAATGATTTATTGTAATTTGTTAAACCTAACTTTGCATAGAAACTCCGATAATTGGATCGTAAATTTGGTGATTAGTGACATTAATATGCCAAATATTACGTTAATATTGATTTATCGCATGTAAGTTATTATTACTAAAAAACTGACTTGGAATTAGAGATAATGTAACTTAAATTTTTTTATATCATAAGGTTACAAACGAGCGAGCTGCCATCTGAAATCGCTGAAATAGCGAAGTGACCGTTGCCCATAGACATACGCAATTGCATATGCGTTGACTACCTTTAGACGACGGAGGAGAGGATGCATAGAAAGAAAAGATTTTCCCCTTCCATGCATCCTCTCATCCGGAAGTCCACTTCCACTTCCCATCCTTTCCTTATGAGAAAAAGGGTGAGAAGGGAAAGTAGTCTAAACTAGGCCCCCGGGACGCACACTCATTAGACGAAACGCGGAATTGCTTCCACTTCACGCCTGTCTTCAAAAATAACTTAATGATGTGGTAGGTAATTAAGAAATTAGCTGGCCCACTATCGCTGGATATAATGAGATGGAACAGACCTATAAGGGAGCTTCAAGTACAGCACTGGGTCTAAACGGCGTGAGATCTAGAATACTGGAGACTTGTTAAAGAAGACCAAGAACCACTTTTTGTATCTGCATCACTCTAGTTATGTAGTTAATTAAGTCAATTACGTTGCTTAACAAAAACCGATGACACTAAATTAGACAAATTTAGGTTGTTTAGCTTGTTGTACACCTACGAAATGGTGTTCCCATAAAATGTAAAATATACGATTATACGAAGTGACTGGCCGAATATTTTCAACAACTTTCATTGTAGGTTAAATATTTAAAACTTATTCGTTATTCTATAGCTGTCTTTGGAACATTGAGTTCTATAAAATCGATAAGATAATTTACACTATCTTTACTAAATAGCCCGCGACTCCGTCTGCGCGAAATTAAAAAAAATATAATAGTAACCTATGTCTTCTTCCAGTCCATGTTCTAGATGTGTACCGAATTGCATCAAAATCCGTTCAGTGGTTTCGGAGATACCTTCAAACATCCATTCATCCAAACATTCGCATTTATAATATTAGTAAGATGTAAAAAAAATGCGTATTGTGAAAATATTATTTTTATCTCCATCATTTTAGATTATTATGATTATTATCGAAATGGTCTATCACAATGTTACTGTTTAACAAATAAATTTAAGACAGATTAGAGTAACATTTGTAAATGTCTAACGATGTTCCTTCGACCTCCCTCGTGTTTGCCAACTACTAACATATTTGGAGACGCGACGTTAAATGTTTCAGTAAGTGACCATATTTCAAGCGCTATACACATAATAATTTATGTCAACGAGATTCTTAATCCGCGGCTATAAACTGACAGTCTAAATAAATTCATCCCACCGATGTAAAAGGTCGTAAGTGTTGCAGCGAGCAAGAGTCTTGCGACGTTTGTCTACGCGTCTCCCGAAGCCATAGATCCCACGCGCCGGCGAGCCCGCGCCAAACTGGTAAATCGGCTCTTGCGCAACTCGGAGACTACAGTTGGTTTCCAATTTTATGTTGACCGGTTTCGAAGTTGTCTTAGCCTTCTAATTTCGGCTCGTTTAGATTGGAAAATACGACGCGGCCCGAAGATATCGTACCCAGCGACCAGGTGAGATCTGAGCAACCGTAGGTTTCACTCGCGGTGTCTCCCAGTGACATTCTCATAAACATATCTCACAGATACGTCGAGTCATTAATTAATAAGTTTAATCAAGCGATCGAGAGCTCGGCGCCGTCAGAGAACTCTCACCGCGTTATTTTAACGTTAAAATATCGCTACGGCTTCTCAGATCGCCAGGCTGTATATCACCGTGTCAGTAAAATGCGTCGATATCTTTGAGGCTAGCGGTTAAGTGATGTTATACTTATGGCCAATGGTAATGACTGTAGTTTATTAACTACAAAAGCATCTTCTTAGGTAGATACACTTCTTCAACTTCTTGAAGTGCCAGAGTAGGAACTAATGATTGATATAAACCCAAAGATGTATGGGCACTTGAACAAACAGCATTATAATCACTGATTCTTGCTGTAGATTAGGTAACTCCAATCTACTTAGTATAAACAGGTTCTCATAACAGTTCCAGGTTTGTCATATGTTGGAGTGTCCTGCTTATCCTGTAGCAGCATGAGCGAGGTGTGAGGACGTTGTGCAGGGTGTAGGGCTGCAGGGAGCCAGCCCACGCGGCCGGTCGGGCGGCGGGAGGCCGCGCACAAATCAACGCGCACTCGCGCTCGCAGGACCCCCGTTGTCAAGGTACGCAGGGCTGTCTGTTATATTTGTTTATCTGGAACAAATAATCTTAACGATAAACTTGGTATTACCAAACGAGGAATTCTGATTACTTGACATAATTATCAAAATTGCAATTCACAAAATACTTCATTAACTTAGAAATTTAGCTTGAACTGATGCTATTGCAATTGTTAAAAGTAGGACTGCTTAAGTTATGTGTGAACATGTAAAATTACAAGTTATCCTTAAGATAATCGTATTATTTGTATAGTGTCTGTTCTATTTTGATTTCATACATGAAGCAAATTATTTCATAGTATTACCATAAATATTAAAAGAAGTTTTGTATAAGTCTTTACTAGGCATTGTGAAGTGTCAACCCTGGCCCCCCGGCGCGGGCGCAGCGCCGACACTCTCACCTCCGCGCCCCGTAATGAACAATATAAATGTGCTATTTGCTGCGCTCGCGCACCGGCCGGTATCATCCCGTCCACTGTGGCCTGACTGCGGACTGCTCGTACCAACCCACAGATGACATGTGCCGCATACACCTGTACAAACTAGTTTTGTTTTTTAAAAATCTAAAATGTTACCAATAAAAACCGATAACATCCAAATTCGACGATGTTCAAATTAAAACGAATAACAAAAGATAACTTCCGCTGTAAATTGTCCTATAATCAAATACCAGGCAACGACCATAAACGACAAAATTTGTTACATCCTATCAAAATAATATCCTAAACGACTGCCAAATTTCGACGTCCATTAAACTCGTATGGAAATTGTCCTTTTGGGAACTTTTTCTCCCGAAGGGCTGTGACAGGACTATTATATTATTAGGATCGTTTTTAGTAATGATAGGGCCGGGACCGGGGTACGCGACCTGAGCGCCTGGAGGGACTAATCGTGCATCGCCACTAAATAAAAAACTTCGGCCACTTCATTATAGTTATACGTTCGCATTATTAAAAGTCCGCCCGGCTCTTTGGAGTGAAGACAGTTGATTTTGCATTCCTTTACGGTGACTTGAGTCGAGACGGGTGGAAGTTTGATGTGGCGGAGACATGGTAGGAACAAATTAACCGCTTTTATTTACGTTGTGGTCCATTAAAAGGTATAAAAATAAGGGAACGATGGCGCTTTTGAGACGTCATCCACACCGAGCGTCGCCACGAATCAGAATAAGGAAACAATAGTCGCGGCAAAAAATGAACACGACGGTTCGGTGGCCGTGGAATTTGGAAACGAAATTCGTGGATCGCATTTTGCGAATACTCTCGCGTGTTAGTGCATTATTATTTAAGTTGGAGCTTTTGAAAATGGTTGTGATGGGCCTGCGGTGGTTTTTTTCGGCGGCGCGTGCGAGCCGCATAATTGGCGCGCCAACCGGGTAGAAGCGCGCTTTTTGCACCGGCCCCAATCAGCTCTATAATGTTACCAATTCTAATAAATTTGCAAATGTTGTGGCGATTGCCATTTTAAGCTCTATTAGGATATGCCATATAAGATTTTACAGTTTATTTTTATTAATTAAAAACAAGCAAATAACATCACTTTGTTAGACGTCAAAACGATTAACATCGTTAAAGAATTATTTCAATTCTATAAGATATGTAATTTAAGTGATATTTTTAAAGTATCAATGAATAAAATAAGATACATAGCGGCGGAGTAACAATAACGCAAAGCTGTGAGGACATATATGGTCGCAGATGCAGGTAAGAAAGGGGCTTGGAGACCTCTAAGCAATGGGGCGAGCGTCGCTCGGAGCGATGGTCGACCGCCGCGGCCTCGGCGTCTCTTACCTCACAAAAAGCAATTTAGGCGACGGCGACGGGATCGCATATGATAACAGGAATCCCGTTGCGTAGCCTCGGGTGCGTGGCTTTGTTCCCCAAATTTAATACCCCTAACATCGATGAACGCTGTGAGTATTTTTATATAGGTTTCTGTCGACTCTCGTCTGACCTTAGCGAGTAGCGGTGCCGGGGGCAGTCCGTCCGTCACATGTCATTCCGATCGCTAACAATGGATAGACTTTGCGAAAATGGTACGCGTGTCGCAGCCGCGACGGCCCGACAATGCCACGGAAAAAAACAAACAATCGAATAGAAATCGAAAACAGAGCTTCTTTCGAATGCGACCGAACGGGATTTTGGAAATCCGGTTTGAATTTTATTTGGTTTGGTTTATCGCGTGCGGTGACTCCTCCGCCGGCTCTATTGTCCACATGTCACACTCCTCGGGGACAAAATAATACCTATCCATTATGGGATCAATAAAAAACTAAGGACGCATTATTTTTAAATAGAATTTAGCTAATAATAAAACGGATGTTAAACGTTATAGTATTTCAATAGATGTCATACGATAATGTGTCACGAAATTAAAAAGACAAACTGTTTAGCTCATTTATTGATCGGAAGGAAAGGAAACACGTTAAAGATGGTGACGAGGTTGTGTTAAACGACAGCATATATTCATTACAAGAACCCGTTAAGATAAGCATCCTGATGACAACAATAACCGTCCAACTTTTTTTCGAGATTTAATTTGTATTTTATTAAAAGTTGTAGAGTAAATGAATTATAATTAAATCGATATAGGTATTTACCGCGGAAGCGACAAATCCCTTGATCGGCCAACGTCGTGGCGCAGCAGGGTCGGGGCCAGAGGTCTATGTCACAACGGCGTGACGTCACATTAAAAGCAAGCTATTGTTCTACTTTTGAACACCATTTATAATTAAATTTGACGCACGTACACAGTACATATTTTTAAAACATTCTCATTTAATATTTTGCATACATTTTTGCTTCATATATTTTTCCTTATTCGAGTGAATAGAATAGTAGAATATTCTATAAAGGCCTTAGAACTTGGACAGTGTTTAAAATACATTTTTGTTTAAACATTGTTCGTACGTCAATTCTTTTACTTTGGACTTTAGTCCTTAGACTAGCACTTTTGGCTGGACACAAATTTGGCTTTTGGTACATTTTTATGTCTATGCTAGCGAAAAGAAGATCTTAACCATTAATTACGAAATAATTATACCAAAAGCAGTACTAACCTCTCTCTTCTATATTTGTAATTTGTCGTTGGGATTTCTTCGTAAATATGGGGTCATAACCTATACGTTTAAAAGTTATAACTAATATTGTTACGTAGCAATATCATTTTTTTACTAAGTCCTTTTACAGTTCGTGACATCGCAAAACGTTATGTTTAAAAATACAAATATTTTAAAGCTCCAAAGGTTACTGAAGACCATAAAAAACGACAAAAAAACTAAATCCAAAGCTTAACAAAACACTACCGCATAAAAAAGCAAAGGTGAGAAAATCCGCTAATTAGTACGTTGGTAGACCGCCCTATAGGTGGCAAAACACGAACAATTGCCGCCCTAGCATTTATGAAAGTATAATTAGCTTTTGTAATATTTTTCTAAAATCCATAGAGATTTCTATTCAGTTGCAAATCTTGGTACCTTGGTTTACGTTCCGATGAACAGTAATTATTGTATAAATAAGGTAAGCTGCACAATCTTAGTTTTGTCATGATTTTTAATTGATCAACGATTCTCTTGAGAAATTTCGCAATTATTTAATAACAAGAATACATGTAGAATACAGTTAAAATGTAAATAACGGCGCTATGGTATGAAAAAAAGCTTTAAGTGATTGTGGTCCCTTTGTGGGCACGTGCTTCGGAGCTTGAAGCTTGTATAATTAATTCGTGAGAGTGACACCAAGCAGATACCTGCGCCCGCTTGCAAACAATCCGGCGCATGCGACGTTCAGGTGTATAATCTTTATTTGTGTTCTTTTTTGCTTCCACTTCCCCTTTGCATAAATTAATTTTGCAATTGTTACTACCCGTACTTTGACTTTCAAATACCGTGTTGCGGTTGACTAACTATATCGTTTGATTAGTTTTTATCGTTATAGTTGATATTAGGATACTTTAAAATTATTAAGAGATTTTCGTTATTTACTTTGTTTAAATCGGAGCGATGAATTTTATAATTTCTAAGCAGTCGAATGGCATTCTTAACGATCATTATTTTTATTTGTCGAACTAGTAACAGATCAGTGAGCACTTTGTTATCTATTGCAATCATCTTAACAACACCTCTGTCGCAATCTAAAATGTTCCATAAACGTTCCGTATTAAGTTCAATTTTATTGTGTTCAAAAATAATCTAAACTATATCAGCTATTGTATTCAGGCTTTGTAACTTGTGCTTTAGTGCCCTGTGTTAGAGTTTTATTTGCTTTGTTAGGGTTGAGATTTGGTCTCACCTGGCCGAGCGGGCCGGCAGCTGGGTCGCTTTGTCTCGACTCATCACTTGACTCGGCCGAAAGGGATGCGGCGCCCATGTGAACCCACTAACGGAATCCTTGGGAATGGATGCGCCTGCGCAGATAATAGTGTACGTGTGTTGTTACTGGGACAATAGTAATGCGATATTTTTTAAATAATGTAGACCAAAATTTACTTTATGTTTTCTGTGTGTTTTTACTTGTAGATTTGTTTTTACTAAATTGTTGTTTTTTATAATTTTTATGAAATGACATTTAAAGCTTTACCTAGGAATAAAACATTTCTTTTAAAATTACTTCCGATTATGATAATATTTGGAACTTTAAAATTATTCTCATTACCAAAAAGTGTTGTTGACAATTAAATCAGGCTTGTATTAACAGAAGTTTTTAAATTGTAGGAAGTCAGTTTGAATTAACATGGAAATCAAATACAAAAGTTTAATTCCCGCAATGTTATGCAAATGTGCTGATGTCGTCCGTGTCGTCAGCGGTGTTTCTCCGCGGTCGCTCTCCACTCGCTGTCCACCTGATGGGAAAAGAAATTATAATAAAAAAAGATACGACCTGACACGACCATACGTTTCGTATGTTTGGCGATTTTCTAATAGATCACATACATTAATATGCTCGGAGACTGGTTCTCGTGAGATCCGTTAGTAGTTTTATGTAAATTATTTATTTTATGGCTGC